TGGGTGCTGATATCTGACCACCCCGCTAGTCCCTGAGTACGTGGCCAAGCACTGGCAAGAAGATGAGTTCTTCGGTTACCAGTTCCTCAATGGCAACAACCCCATCATCATTCGGTGCTGCACCGCGTTGCCGCCCAAATTCCCGGTGACACCAGAGATGGTGGCCGGCTCACTGGGGAGTACCACTGACCTGGGCAAGGAGCTGAAAGAAGGTCGGATCTTCATTGTGGACTATGAGGTGTTGGACGACATCCCAGCCGACACCATCAATGGGCGCCAGCAATACGTGGCAGCCCCACTCTGCCTCCTTCACCAGGGCACTGATGGGCTCCTGCGCCCCATCGCCATCCAGGTAGGGATGCCCCACATCAAAGTGTGCTGTGGGGAGGGTGAGGATAGTCCCAGACCATGAGGTGGTGTCCCACAGCTCAGTCAAAAACCAGGACCCTCCAACCCCATCTTCCTGCCAAGTGATGATGAGTGGGACTGGCTGTTGGCCAAGACCTGGGTGCGCAACGCTGACTTCTACAGCCACCAGCTCCTCACCCACCTGCTGAGGACCCACCTGTTTGGGGAGGTCTTCGCTGTTGCCACTCTGCGCCACCTGCCCACATGCCACCCCCTCTTCAAGGTAAGGTCCTCCCTGAGGCCACCTGCTGCCCCCTCGCCCATTTGACAGTGGTAATACTCTGTGTGACAGCCCCCCCCGCTTCATGCGAGGGGTCCCTGGTCACCTGCCAGGTGTTGGTTCCTCCCTCAGCTCCTCATGCCCCACTTCCGCTACACACTGCACATCAATACCTTGGCCCGCTCCGTCCTCATCAACCCTGGCGGCCTCATCGACAAGGTGAGCCCTGGGGCCTGGGAGCACTGGGCTCTGCTGGGGCCACTGGGACCTGGTGGGAGCGCTTGGGGGCACTGGGGTCTACTGGGGACACTGGGGGTTGGTCTGCTGGAGTCCACTAGGGGCACTGGGGGCTACTGAGAGAACAGTTGGCACTGGGTGCACTGAGGGGTGTGGGGGTGTTGGGGTCTACTGGTGATGCTGGAGTCTTCTTGGGGCACTAGGAGGCACTGAGGTCTACTGGGAGTTCTGGAGGGTAGTGAGGTGCTACTGGAAGCAATGTGGAGTGCTGGGGTGTACTGGGGGCACTGGGCTGTACTGGCATTACTGGGGAACACTGTAGTATACTGGGGAAACTGGGGGACACTGGGAAATATGGGGGCCCTGGGAGACACTAGAGAACCTGGAGTGGAGGACACTGGAGAGTACTGGGGTGCACTGGGGGACTTGGTGTGTACCTGGAGGACTGGTGAGCACTGGGGGACACTGGGGTATGCTGGGAACACTGGGGGACACTGAAGCCTGGCACTGCCCACCCTGCCCGCCCATGGGTGCCTCCCCTCTCCCAGGGCTCAGGGGTGACCTATGAGGGGCTGCAGCTGGTGGTGCAGCGGGGCCTGGAGCAGGTGACCTACACCTCCCTGTGCCTCCCTGATGACATCCGCCACCGTGGCATGTCCCAAGTCCCCAACTACTACTACCGGGATGATGGGAAGAGCCTCTGGGAAGCCATTGAGAGGTGGGACCAGTTTTGGGGGTTGGGAGTGGTCTTGGGTGTGCCCCAGGACCTCACAATCACCTCATTCCTGTGGCAGCTTTGTCACTGGCATTGTGACATTCTACTATGATGGGGATGCTGCGGTGAGCGGGGACACGGAGCTGCAGGCCTGGGTGATGGACATCTTCACCAACGGCTTCTTGGGCAGGACCTCCTCAGGTAGCACACCTGCAGCTGCCATGGCATGTCCCCAGGGGTGGCAGGAGACAGGGACGGATCCCTGAGGCTCTTGGCTGTCCCCCTCCCACCCAGGTGTCCCCTCCTCACTGCAGACAGTGGCAGAACTCATCAAGTTCCTCAGCATGGTGATGTTCACCTGCTCGACTCAGCACGCCGCTGTCAACAATGGGCAGGTAGGACAGAGACCTAAAGGATTTCCCCAGCTGTGCTGGGGTCATGTCCTGCTCCCAGCCTTTTATATGCAGGAGGGATGTTCCCATCCTGAACCAATGTCCATGTCACACCACTTTACATGCCAGAGGGATGTCCCCATCCCTCCTGTCCCCATATTCTAAGGATGTCCCCACCCTACCTCAGAAGAACGCCCCCATCCAATGTGACCTTATGCTAGAGGTATGTCCCCATCCATCACCTCTTCATGCAGGAAGGGATGACCCCAGCTGTCCCATCCTCTCTCCAGGCTGGAGAGAATGTCCCCATCAGTCCCCTCTCCATGCCAGATAGGATGTTCCTATCCGTTCCCTTGCCATGATGGGGAAATGTTCCCATCTCTCCCCTCTCTGTGCCAGGGGACGTTCCCACCCATCCCCTTCGGGGGATGTTTTTGGTGGTGTCCTCTCCAGTGGTGTGTCCCCCTGCAGTATGACTTCGGCGCCTTCGTCCCCAATGCCCCGTCCTCCATGCGCCACCCACCGCCCCGTGAGAAGGGACGGGCCTTCCTCCAGCACTTCCTTGACACTGTTCCTGAGGTGGCCACCACTGCAAACATCCTAGTGACCCTGATACTCCTCAGCTCCCAACTCAAGGACAGGGTGAGTCTGTCCCCACAGTCTCCACGGTCCTCCAAAAGGGTCCATGGGGCCGGGAACCCCAAAAGGTGTCCACAAGGCTGGATGTCACAACCTTTCATGTCCTCAAGCCTGGGGGATGGCTACCATTGCTCCACAGCTACCAGGGTACCAGAGAACCCCCCAGTAGCACCAAGGGGTTGAAGCTGAGGGATCCCCATCCCTGTCTCCCCAGAGGCTCCTGGGACAGTACCCTGAGGAGCGGTTCACAGAGGCAGAACCTCGGCGGCTTATCCGGGCCTTCCAAAGGCGGCTGAAGGAGATCCAGGACCGGATCGAGGAGAGGAACTACCTGGCTGAGCTGAGATACAACTACCTGAACCCACTGGAGACCGAGAACAGCATCTCCATCTGAGTGCAGGGGCTGTACCCATGTAGCGCCCCCAGCACTCCCAGCACCTGGACACCCAGTGCACCCAGCACCCCCAGTTCCCAGCTCCACCAGCACCCCACATGCTCTTATCACCCAGTATCTTGCACTTGGACAACCCTGGCACCTCCAGGACCCCACACTTGGACACCCTCAGCACTTACTCCCGCAGCACCCCCGCTCTGTTTCCTTCCCCCCAATAAATGCCAGCTGTCAATCAAACCCTCCCTGCTTCGGGGTGGGGGGGCATTCTAAAACTACGGGGACCCCCTGGTCCCTCCCCACAGCCGCCACTCAAAGTGGGAGCTGGATTGAGGCAATTGAGACATGATGCCCACTGCTCTCAGTGGCTCCTTCCAGTCTCACAGTGCCCATCACTGATCCCCAGTGACCTCAGTGTCCCCCTGCAGTGCTTGCCAGTCTCCACAGCACTCCCAGTGTCCTCCTCAGTGCTCCCAGTGCCCCCCTGTTATGGGGTTAGACTAAGAGCTTCAGACAAAGTTTATTAAAGAGGATACTTTTGAGTCACGAGACGCAGAAAGGATCCTGAACACCTCAAAACCCACCCAGGCCCCCTGGCTTTCTAAACTCCTTCTTTGAGGTTGAATGTTGGTGTGGCTGGATCCAATCTAGGCCCAGCTCCCTCAGCCTCTCCTCACAGGCAAAGGGCTCCAGCCCCATCTTGGAGGCCCTTCACTAAACCTGCTCAAGCTTACAGACATCTTTCCTGTATTGAGGAACCAAAACCAAGGCACAGCAACCTGGATAATCCGCCACCTTGACAGGGGTCACACAGCCCAGGGTGCTCATGGCCACCCTTGCTGCCTCCTGCCCAGCTCCCTGCCCATCAGTTTTCTTACAAGGCTGCTTCCAGCCAGGCAGCTCCTAGCCTGTGCCATGGCCAGGCTCCCTTGCAGGAGCAGACACTGGCATTTGTCCTGGGATCTCATGAGGTTCCTACCAACATGAGTTCTCCCCCTCCTTGAAGCCCCTCACTGACCACAGAGGCCTGAGAGACCTTTCTAGTAAAGAGTCAGGCAAAGAAGCCATGGAGTCCCTCAGCACCACACCAGTGTCTGCTGGGATTAAATCCCCTTCCCCATTCCACAGCAACCCTGCATTTCCCTTTTTGATCTTTGGTCTCTAGCAGAGAAGTTAAAGCTCTTTTTGCTTTTAGCTTTTCTTGCAGCCACCAACTCCAGGTGAGCTCTGCTTTTCCCAGAGTCCCACCAACACAGCCCAGGCCATGCCCAGCAATCCCTTGTCTGTCCCTGGCCTTGCTGTCACCCCCCTGCAGCGGCTTTGTGACCTATCCTGAGACATCTCAGGCCTGCTCCCATCCCATGGCCCCACAGCCCCAACTGTGCAGGCCCAGCCCAGGACAGGAACACTCAGGGTGGGGAACGGCCCCTCTGATGGGATGCCCTTGGGACTTGGTCACCCCAGGGCTTTCCTGTTCAGCACCTCCCCAAGATCCTGGAGAGTCCCTGTCACCTGTGGGGCTTCACAGAGAGTCCTGCTCCAGGCTCTGCCAGGCTCTGGGCCAGGAGAGAGGCCAGGCAGGGCTGGCCATGGCCCTGGAACACACCTTGAGCCCAACAGGAGGATGGAGGTGGGCACAGCAAAACTCACCCGTAACCCTGGGCTGAGAAGCCAGCGCTGGGAATGGCTGTGGAGAGAGGCTGGAGGGGGGGACACAACTGTCCTGGGCCACCTTCCTGCTCTGTTCATGCCACCAAGGGCACAGATCAGCCTCCTCTCTCTGGGAGTTTCAAATATTTGGTACCTTCCACAGGCTGTGGCTCTGCACCAAACCCCCCTGGTGTGAGTCCTCCCCCTGCACGGTCACACAGTGTGAGATACACACTGCTGGTTTTCTCTTCCAGGTCCTTTCCAGCCCAGCTCCCTCCGAGCTCTCCCACATCCCCTAAGCTCTCTTCCACCACCAAGGGCCTCTCCCCAGCACAGCCCAGGCGGGTCTGGCCCCACAGCCTTGCCCAGGGTAGGGTGCTCTGGGCAGTGGCACCACAGCCCAGCCCCTATCAAGGGCACAGCAGCAGCTGGAGCTCAGAGAGGACTGAATGGGTGAACATGATTGGCAAAAGGAAAAGGTGTGCCCTGCTCTCCTCTCCAGAAGATCCTGAGAGCTCTGCAGCCCCTCTCTGCCATCCCATCTCCCCAGGGCAGCACAAAAGCCCTTGTGGTCCTCAGGAGCTCTTGCTGATGCAGGCACAGGGCCCATCCCAAAGCTGGTGCAGTCACAAAGCTGTTCCCATTTCCTATTCGTTCCTGCTCTGCTGAGGATGGATCTCAGACCAAAAAAAAAAAAAAAAAACCCTGCTGTAGGTTCATTTATTTAATTTGAATACAATATGAGTTACATTTACCCCAAGTCTCTGGGTCACACAGGATTGGTGGATGCTGAAGAAGAGAAGATTGTGGAGCTGTGCTAGGCCTTGTGAGCCAGCACCTTGGAGGGGTTTGTGGGGGAAGCTGAGAACCCATGGAAGTGTTGGGTACAATAAACCATAAAGAGTTCCTAACATGTGTCCAGTGCCTTTGTTCAGCCTGATGGGAATTTATAATGAACATCATGGCCTCAATCAGTGAGCTGTAATAGGGGTCCTGGGGGTCCCTCTTCTCAGTGTTCCCCTCTCTTTGTGCTCCCCTCCTCTCTGGGCTGCCAGCAGTCCTGAGGTTCCCCCCTCTCTGGGGTCCCCCCTCTACAGGCCCCACATTTCAGGGTCACTGGGCTCCCCCCACTTCAGCTTTTGGTGTGAAAATCAAGGATTTGGGGGTGAAAATCAAGGAATTGCGGATAAAAATCGAGGATTTGGGGGTGAAATTTGGGGATTATGTGACGAAAATCGGGGATTTGGGGACGAAATTTGGGGATTTTGGGATAAAAATCGAGGGTTTCGGGGTGGAAATCAAGGATTTTGGGATGAAATTTGGGAATTTTGTGATGAAATTCGGGAATTTTGTGATGAAATTCGGGGATTTGGGGGAAAAATTTGGGATCTGGGGAGGAAAATCGGGGATTCTGATGTGAAAATCAAGGCTTTTGGGACGAAATTTGGGGATTTTAGGACGAAATCGGGGTTTTTTTGGGGGGGGTTCTTCCTCCGATGGCACAAAACCGAGGCTGAAAAAACACCATTTTTAATCAATTTATTTTTTGGGGTGGGGTGTTAATTTGAGGGCGCGGGGGGGGGATGACCCCGGGCGGCCTCGATGACGTCACCAAACTACACGGGGGGGGATAAAACCACCCCCCAAAAACGGGTCGTGGGTGACGTCACCGCTGACGTCACTCGGGGCTCAGCCAGGTCCCCGCCGCCTCCACCTCCCGCGGCACCACCAGGAACAGCTCGGAGGGGCCGCTCGACAGCAGCGACCGCAGGAACGACCTGATGGGACAGCGGGAGTGGCACCCGCGGCACCCACAGGGACACCCGCGGCACCCATTCCACCCATTCTCCCTCCAATTTTCCACATTTCCGCCCCATTTTCCCGCGTTTTTTCCCCATTCCCCCCCATTTCTCCCACTTTTTTCCTTATTTCCCCCCAAATTTTCCCTCCCTTCTTTCCTCCATTTTCCCCCCATTTCCTTCCTTTTTCCCGTTTCCCCCCCCATTTTCCCCCATCCCCCTCGTTTTTCCTCCATTTTTCTCAATTCCCTTTTCCACCCTCATTTCCCCCCATTTCTTCTCTTTTTCCCCGTTTCTCCCCCATTTTCCCCATTTCTCCCCCCCTTCC